GTTCCCAGGGCCTGGGCCAGGAGGAGGGGGGAGCTTGGGAAGGGGGGAACTTTCCAATAAAACTGGTGAAAAGTGTGCAAAGTCTGATCTCTTTATTAGTCGAAGGCAGCAGGGGGCCCCCGGCCCCCCCCGGGCTGGGCCCAGCACAGGGCAGCCCTGGCCCCCTCCCTGGCAGCCCCCCAGGGACCGGCCCCCCCCTCGATGGGGGGGCACAGGGTCACCCTCCAGCCTCAGCCCCGCGCTGGGAATAAAGCTGTTTATTGCCATTGAGTTCCTGTTCCATGACCCCTGCGGGGGCTCAGGTGACACCTGCGTGTCGGGCAGTAGCTGGGGGGCTGTGGGGGGACCTGCAGCGCTGCTGGGGGGCCAGGGGCCTCTGCCCCACGCCGTGGGCAGGAGGTGCCCGAGGGGGCTGTACCGTGAGGGGGGTCAGGGGCCTCAGCAGGGCAAGCCTGGGGCCGGTGTCTCTTTGGCAGGTGCCCCCCAAGGGCCCAGGGAGTGTGGGGGTCTGGCCACGAAGCTGCTGCCCCCGGCCCCGTCTGGCTGTGCCCAGCCTCCACCACAGGAATCACCGCTGGCACCATCACACGGGCATCGGCATCTCGTTGTACTCGTCCACACCTTCCCGCTCGTCCAGGATGGGCTCGGCCTCAGCCGCGTCCAGCTGCGGGACACGGCGGCTGAGGGGCAGCAGGGACCCCCTTGGCCCTGCCCACCCCGGGGGTCCAGCCCCCACTGCCCCCCAGGGACGACAGACAGAGCCACTTACACACTTCATCTCCCGGTCGGTGAAGATGCGGCTGAGCAGGCACATGCGGAGCGGCACGGTGAGGATGAGGATGAAGGGGAAGGCCAGGGAGGCCACGGTGGACATGACGGCCCAGAGCACGGCCAGGCAGCCCAGCTGCAGCCCGGTGAAGAGGTGCATGCGCAGCGTGCGCACCTGGCACGGGCACATGTCAGCGTGGGCCGGGCTCCTCGTGCCCTTCCCACCATGGGCACAGCCTGCCCAGGGGTACCCCCACACCCCAAACACGGCCCATGGCCCTGCCGGGGTCTGGCTGCCCCCGAGGAACTGCCCTGGCCCCCTCTGCCCCCCTAAGCAAGGCTCTGCCAGAGCCTGCCCTGCGGACGCCCCAGTGCCCCCACCCAGGGGTGCCCCCGGCTGGCTGCTGCCCCAGCCAAGGGTCCTGCCCCCAGCGACTCTCCCCAGGGTCCCTCCCCACCTTTTTGACATAGCTGACATCAGGGTGGTGCTTGGGGGGCATCAGCAGCAGCTGCAGGCGCTCGTAGAACTGGATGCCGTTGAGGGAGGTGACACCCATGTAGAGGAAGATGCCGAAGAGCACAGCCAGCGGGATCTGCCGCAGCAGGTCCCCGATGACGATGGACAGCCCTGGGCCAGAGCAGGGTCAGCCTGGGCAGGGGGGTCAGCATAGCCCCCTCACCCCACTCCACCCTCCCTGCTCGCCCCCATCACATGGAGAAGGTCCCGCGTTCCTGCACCCACAGGGAACAGGACGGCCACGATGATTTGGCCAGGGCTCGGGTGCCCCAGCTCCAGTGCCCACACTGCCCCTGCACCCACAGGGAACAGCACGGCCACGATGATTTGGCCAGGGCTCGGGGTGCCCCAGCTCCAGTGCCCACACTGCCCCTGCACAGCTACAGCCCCCTCAGGCTCCCCAGCCCCTCCCCTCACACCACCGCAGCATCCCGGCTTCCCCCAGGGCCAGACCTACCAACGAGCACGGCCACCAGCAGCCCAGTGACCCGCTGCTCCTTCACCTCCTGGATCTTGGGCTTGTCCCCGGGTGCCACGGCCTTGCTCATGACGGTGAGGGCATTGGCGTGGGTGACCGAGCGCACGGTGGCCGCGGCGAGCCAGGGCAGCCCAAAGAGCGCAAAGAAGCCACCCATGGCCACGATGAGCAGGAGGTCGAGGTGGAACCCAGAGCCCTTCTGCAGCATCCGCTCCTTCTTGCTGATGATCAGCCTGGGCACAAGGGCAGACGGTTGGCACAGCTTCCCCCGGCCACACCGATGACCCCACCCAGCCCTGCTGCGCTCACGTCGTGATCTGGGTCTCCATGAAGATGAGGATGAAGACGAGGACGGCAGGGAGGCCACTGGCCACCATCATCCACACGGGGAAGTCGCTATGCTCACCCAGGGGGTTGATCACCCAGCCCCGCTTGTCCGGGGCCGTGACCGAGAACCCGCTGGGCACGCTCAGCTTCTGCAGGGGGAGAGAGACACTGGGTGGGGGTGCTGGCTGTGCCCCCCAGGGCGAGGGGGGGCACGGAGTCACCCCACACAGTAGCTGGACTTGAAGAGAGATGGAAGGTAAGACACTGGGAGCTGGAGGCAGCTGAGTGGGCACAGCTATAGCGGGGACAGATGGAGCCACTGACCCACACCCAGGACAGAGGGAAAAGGCACAGGGACCCTGCAGGAGAAGGGGGGGGGCCTG